TGCCCACATTCTAATACTGCCATTTTTAAAACTATTCCAACCCTCTTCAACCCCCCCACTACTCATCTTTGCACTAGCCCACCTTTCTGCCAATAGTCGCTTATATCTCACCCGAACTTCCTCTCTCCCTTAGTTTATACACTTTCACCTCCCTCTTACTTGTTGTTGCCACCTTCCTCTTTTCCCATCTACCCCCTACTCTAACTGTAGCTACAATAAATAATGATCCGATATATCAGTTGCCCCTCTATAAACATGTACATCCTGGAGCCTACCCATCAACCTTTTATCCCCAATACATAATCTAAAAAAACTACTTTCATTACGTGCTACATCATACCTTGTATATTTTTTTATCCTCTTTTTCAAAAAAATATGTATTACTTATTACCAAATTTCTTTCTACACATAGCTCAATCAAAGGCTCCCCATTTACATTTTTCCCCTGGCACCCCAAATTTTACCTACTACTCCCTCCATAACATTTTTACCCACTTTAGCATTGAAATCCCCAACCACCATTACTCTCACACTTGATTCAAAAACTCCCCACGCATTCACTCAACATTTCCCAAAATCTCTCTCTCTCCTCACACTTCTCTCTTCTCCAGGTGCATACACGCTTATTATAAACCCCTTTTCACATCCAATCTTTATTTTACTCCACATAATCCTTGAATTAATACATTTATAGTCCCTCTTTTCCCGCCATAGCTTATCCTTCAACATTATTGCTACTCCCTTCTTTAGCTCTAACTCTATTTGAAAACCCCTGACCTAATCCATTTATTCCTCTCCACTGAAACCCCCCTCCCAAACCCCCCTTTAGCTTTGTTTCACTTAAAGCCAGGACATCCAGCTTTTCTCATTCATAACATCCACAATCATCTCTTTTTATCATCTGCACAACATCCACGCACATTCAGACTTCCACTTTGACAATTTTCTTCTTCTTATTCTTTTTGTAAACTTTTCAGGAAAAGGGGGTTTCTAGCCCATTGTTCCCGGCATTTTATTTCCCTTTACAACACGCATGGCTTACGGAGGAAAGATTCTTTTCCACTTCCCCATGGGAAAAAAGGGGAAAAATTAAAAAGAAAAGAATAAAAAAAATAAAGAAAACCAGAGGTGTGTATAAATTGTGTACATGTATGTTAGTGTGACCTAAGTGTAAGTAGAAGTAGCAAGACTCCTGTAATCCTTGCATTTTATGAGACAGAAAAAACACAGCAATCCTACCATCATGTAAAAAAATTTACAGGCTTTCGTTTTACACTCACTGGCAGGACGGTAGTACCTCCCTGGGGGTTGCTGTCTACCAACCTACTACCTTATATATATATATATATATATATATATATATAAAACAGTGGACCCCCGCCGCATAACGATGGCATCACATAGCGATTAATCCGCATACCGCTTGCTTTAATCGCAAAAATTTTGCCGCGCATACCATTTAAAAAACCCCGGGCCCTCACCGATTTTCGTCCGAGACGCGTCCAATGTGCGCCCTCAGCCAGCCTCACATGTGCCGCCCGTGCCATTGTTTACCAGCCACCCCCGCGGTAACTTTCCAAAGCATACAATCGGAATATTTCGTTTTAAATACAGTGTTTTCGGTGCTGTTTCGGGAAATAAGTGACCATGGGCCCCAAAAAAACTTCTAGTGCCAACTGTAACCAATAAGGTGAGAATTCCAATAGAAATGAAGAAAGAGATCATTGATAAGTATGAAAGTGGAGTGCGTATCGCCGACCTGGTCAGGTTTGGGACAAGAAACCCCCAATCAACCATCGAAACTATGTGGGACCAGAAAGGCAATCAAGGAAGCTGTTCTTGCCAAAGGTTTAACTGTGTTTTCGAAACAAAGATCGCAAGTGATGGAAGATGTTGAGAGACTCTTATTGGTGTGGATAAATGAAAAACAGCTAGCAGGAGATAGCGTCTCTCAAGCGATCATATGTGAAAAGGCTAGGAAGTTGCATGAGATTTAATTAAAAAAATGCCTGCAACTAGTGATGATGTGAGTGAATTTAAGGCCAGCAAAGGTTGGTTTGAGAGATTTAAGAAGCGTAAATGGCATACATAGTGTGATAAAGGGATGGTGAGGCTGCCAGTTCGGGACCACAAAGCAGCTGAAAAATATGTGCATGAATTCAAGGAGTACATAGACGTGAAGGACTGAAACCTGAACAAGTGTTTAATTGTGATGAAACAGGCCTGTTTTGGAAGAAAATGCCAAGCAGACCTACATTACCAGGAGGAAAAGGGAACCCCAGGACATAAGCCTATGAAAGACAGGCTTACTTTGTTGATGTGTGCCAATGCTAGTGGTGATTGCAAAGTTAAGCCTTTATTAGTGTATCACTCTGAAACTCCCAGAGCGTTCAGGCAAAAGAATGTCCTCAAGGATAATTTGTGTGTGCTGTGGAGGGCAAACAGTAAGGCATGGTCACTAGGGGCTTTTTCTATAACTGGTTACCCCCATGCATTTGCCCCCAATGTGAAAAGATTACCTAACTGAAAAGAAATTAGAACTTAAGTGCCTCCTTGGTGTTAGACAATGCCCCTGGTCATCCTACAGACGTGGCAGAGCGACTTTTTTGGGGACATGAGCTTCATTAAGGTCAAGTTTTTGCCTCCAATACCACTCCTCTCCTGCAGCCCATGGACCAGCAGGTTATTGCAAACTTCAAAAAACTGTAACAAAAGCTCTGTTTGAAAGGTGCTTTGTAGTGACCTCAGAAACTCAACTGAATCTAAGAGAGTTTTGGAGAGGGCACTTTAATACCTCAATTGTGTAAACCTTATAGGTAAGGCTTGGGAGGGAGTGACTAAGAAGACCTTGAACTCTGCTTGGAAGAAACTGTGGCCAGAATGTGTAGACCAAAGGGATTTTGAAGGGTTTTGAGGCTAACCCTGAGAGGAGTAAATACCAGTTGAGGAATCAATTGTGGCATTGGGGGAAATCCTTGGGGTTGGAGGTTAGTGGGGAGGATGTGGAAGAGTTGGTGGAGGACGACAATGAAGAAAATAACCATGATGAGCTGATAGATCAACTTCAAGAGCAAGAGGCCAGACCTGAGGAAACTGGTTCAAAGGAGGGGAGAGAGAAATTGAAGGAATTGCCTACTACAAGATTAAGGAAATGTGTGCAAAATGGCTTGAAGTGCAAACCTTTTTTGATGAAAATCACCCTCACACAGCTATTGCAAGCCGTGTTGGCAACCTGTACCTGACAATGTTTGTGAAACACTTAGGGAAGTCAAAAGGAACGGAGGTACAGGCCACTATGGACAGATATGTTTGTGCGAAAGAAGTCCCGTGACTTGAAGCTGGTCCTAGTGGCATTAAAGAAGAAGGGAAGTAAACCCCAGAAAAGGACTCGACACCTCAAGTCTTAATGGAAGGGGATTCCCCTTCTAAAACATAAACACTCTCTCTCCCCTCCTCCCATTTCCCATCAATCATACCAGATCTTCAATAAAAATAAGTGTCATGTAAGTGTGCATGCCTTTTTCAGTTTGTGTGTATTAAAATTAACATTTCATGTGGTAAAAAAAAATTTTTTTTCATACTTTTGGGTGTCTTGCACGGATTAATTTTATTTCCATTATTTCTTATGGGGAAAATCATTCACATACCGATTATTTCGCATAACAATTACCCCTCTTGCACGGATTAAAATCGTTATGCGGGGGTCCACTGTATATATATATATATATATATATATATAATATATATATATATATATTATATATATATATATATATATATATATATATATATATATATATATATAATATAAATGTTTTTAGGTAGTAGGTTGTTATACAGCAACCATCCAGGGGGGTACTACCGTCCTGCCAAGTGAGTGTGAAACGAAAGCCTGTAATTGTTTTACATGATGGTAAGATTGCTGGTGTCTTGTCTGTCTCATAAATATGAAAGATTACAGGTACGTCTTGCTACTTCTACTTACACTTAGGTCACACTACACACACATGTACAAGCATGTATATACACACCTCTCTGGGTTTTCTATTTTCTTTCTAGTTCTTGTTCTTGTTTATTTCCTCTTATCTCCATGGGGAAGTGGAACAGAATTCTTCCTCCGTAAGCAATGCGTGTTGTAAGAGGCAACTAAAATGCCAAGGGCAAGGGGCTAGTAACCCCTTCTCCTGTATATATTACTAAATGTAAAAGGAGAAACTTTCCTTTTTCCTTTTGGGCCACCCTGCCTCAGTGGGATACGGCTGGTGTGTTGAAAGAAGACAGAAAGATATATAAATGTATATATATTGTAGGTAGTAGGTTGGTAGACAGCAACCGCCCAGGGAGGTACTACTGTCCTGTCAAGTGAGTGTAAAATGAAAGCCTGTAATTGTTTTACATGATGGCAGGATTGCTGGTGTCTTTTGTCTGTCTCATAAATATGCAAGATTACAGGTACGTCTTGCTACTTCTACTTATACTTATGTCACACTACACATACATGTACACGTTGATTTTTACACACTCACCTGATTTTTCTTTGATTTTATCTTAATAGTACTTGTTCTTATTACTTTTCCTTTAATATCCATGGGGAAGTGGAATAAGAATCTTTCCTCCAAAAGCCATGCATGTTGTAAAAGTCAACTAAAATGCCGGGAACAATGGGCTAGTAACCCCTTTTCCTGTAATAATTACTAAAAAAGTATAAGAAGAAGAAAATTGTCGAAGTTGGATGCCTGAATGTGCGTGGATGTTGTGCGGATCATAAGAAAGAGATGATTGTGGATGTTATGAATGAGAAGAAGCTGGATGTCCTGGCTTTAAGTGAAACAAAGCTGAAGGGGGTGGGAGAGTTTCAGAGGATGAATTTATGAAGGATGAGGTTAATCAGAGAAGTGATGAAGGAAAAAAGCGAGTGGTGCGTTGAGGTATATCTGAAGACAAAAAACGTTATCTATGGAGGCAAAGAAGGGAATGTATGAAAGTATAGCAGCACCAACACTCTTATATAGGTGAGAAGCTTGGGTTGTAAATGCTGCAGCGAGGAGGCGGTTGGAGGCAGTGGAGATGTCCTGTCTAAGGGCAATGTGTGGTGTGAATATTATGCAGAAAATTCGGAGTTTGGAAATTTGGAGGTTTGGAGTTAATAAAAGTGTTATTCACAGGGCTGAAGAGGGGTTGTTGAGGTGGTCTGGTCATTTAGAGAGAATGGATCAAAGTAGAATGACATGGAGAGTGTATAATTCTGTAGGGGAAGGAAGGCGGGGTAGAGGTCATCCTCGAAAAGGTTGGAGGGAGGGGGTAAAGGAGGTTTTGCGGGCAAGGGATTTGGACTTCCAGAGTGCGTGAGCATGTTAGATAGGAGTGAATGGAGACGAATGGTATTTGGGACCTGACGAGCTGTTGGAGTGTGAGCAGGGTAATATTTAGTGAAGGGATTCAGGGAAACCGGTTACTTTCACATAGCCAGACTTGAGTCCTGGAAATGAGAAGTACAATGCCTGCACTTTAAAGGAGAGGTTTGGGATATTGGCAGTTTGGAGGGATATGTTGTGTATCTTTATACGTATATGCTTCTAAACTGTTGTATTCTGGGCACCTCTGCAAAAACAGTGATTATGTGTGAATGAGATGAAAGTGTTGAATGATGATGAAGGTATTTTCACTTTGGGGATTTTCTTTCTTTTTGGGTTACCCTGCTTCGGTGGGAGACAGTCGACTTGTTGAAAAAAAAAATATATGTGCAGTTCCTTTGTGTAAAATAAAAGGAGAGACAAGAGTAAGTGTAAGGATTAGAGGAAAATAAGGCCTGTCAAGTATACTGGGTAAGAGTATGGTAGAATTATTATTGAAAGAATTAAGGGTAAAACAAAATGGGGGTTTAAGAGGAACAAAAAAAACAATTTGGGAAAGGGAAGAGGATGTGTAGCCCCAAGTTTTTACAGTGGGGAACCCAAAGTGAACAATATTTAAAAGTAAAGAACTTTTTGTTGCAGTTAAAAAATTTAAAAAAGGCCCATGATATGGAGGGGGAGGGGTAAAAGGGGGTTTTTGTGGGTGGGGGGACGGGATTTCCCAGCAAGCGTGTGTGAGCGTATTAAAAGGAGTAAAGGGAAAACGTTTTTTTGTTTTTGGTACTTGACGACTGCTGGAGGGGTGAGCAGGGTAATATTTATTTAAAGGGGATTCAAGGAAACCGGTTATTGAAAGTTTTTAGCCGACTTGGGGCCCTGGAAAGGGGAAAAGTACAATGCCTGCTTTTTAAAAGGGGGGGCTGGGATATTGCAGTGTGGAGGGACTTTTTAACTGTTTTTAATCTGGGGCACCTTTTGAAAAGACAGTGTTTAAATGTATGGATAAAAGGGTTTTTGAAGATGTTGAAAGTTTTTTCTTTTTGGGGTTTTTTCTTTTTTTTTTTGGGGTAAACGCTCCCTTTGGGGTGGAAGAGGCCGACTTTTTGAAAAAAAAAAAAAAAAAAAAAAGAATCAATATAAATAAAACTTAGCCAGTAAAAATACATACTGGGAATAATAAATGTGCTACACAAACACGGTATAAGGGAAGATTGAATTTTAAAAAGGGCCCATAAAATGAGAGACAGTTTAGTAAACTAAAATGAAGTTAGGTTTACTAAGGGGAGGGAAGCAAAGACATGGGGTTACTAAATAGAAATGGGGGGAAAAGTATGAAATATTTTTTTACGGGAGGGGATATTTTGGAGATGAAAAAAATAGCCACCCTTTTCCCCACCCCTTCCCTTTCAAATAACAGCATAAAAAAGCTACGATCAAAAAAACAGCGGGGCAATTAAACAACATTTTTTGAACTAATCCTTCCCCATGCAAGTATTCCAAAAAAATTTCAGGGATTTCATAGTCCCCCCCCCCCCCCTTCCCGTCCACTTTCATTGTAACTTGATAAAGGGAGGTAAAACGCCCAAAACCCCTTTTTTTGGACAGCAGCGGGGCACCGGGTACAATCACAGTAACACTAATGCTGTACATTTAAAAATGAAGAAACTAAAACTGGTGAAAGAATTGGGTTTTATGAAAACTTTTGGGACTCTGATTTGACCGATAAAGCTCTGCAAAAAGAGAAAAACCTTTCAAAACAATTAAAGCTTATTTGGCATCTGTGTCATTTTTTCCCAATGCAGTATCCCTTTCCCCTATCAAACCAAGTTTAGCTAGGAAACCAATATTTTTTTTCTTAAACCAAAAACACTCCTTTCCACCGCACAAAGGGAGAAACTTCATTCCAAAAAAATTTTCTAAGTTATTTTTCCCCAACAAATATTTAGGGTTTAAAAAAAAATAAAAACCTCCCTTTAGTCTTTCTCTCTCCCCTTTACACAAATAAATTACAAAATGCTCAAGAAAAGTTTTGAATCAAAAATTATTTTTTTTCAAAAGATTTGCAAAACAGAGAATTCATAAACACAACCTTATTTTCATTTATTTTTCAAAAAGGAAATACCCTTTTCTTTCATGCTCCCCCCAAATTTATTCATTTTTAAATAAACTTTCTACATTATTTAGTTGTAGCTACCCGTTAAGTAAGAGGTTTGATGGGGAAAAAAGGAAAAGGGGGCAACAACAAGTAAGAAGGGGGGTGAAAATGTAAAAACCCAAGGGAGGGGGGAAGTTCCGGGTTTAGATATAAACGACTATTGGGAGAAAGGTGGGCCCAGTGCAAAGAAGAGTAGTTGGGGGTTAAGAGGGTTGGAATAGTTTTAAAAAATGCAGTATTAAAAAAGGGGCAGAAGTTTGGTTTTGGAAGGGGGGGGGCAGGGGGAAAAAGAAAGTGATTGGTGGAAGGGTAAGTAAAAGGGGGGGTGATAAAAGAGAAAAAGGTAAACTTTTTGAAGGGGGTTTTTACAAAGGAAAAAGTGTTTAAAAAGAAGAGCAAGTATATGGAGATAAAAGGAAACGTTTTTGAGAGTCTGAATTTCAAAAGGAGAGCAAAGATAAAAGTGGGAGGGGGCACTGTCCCAAAAAATTTTTTAAAGAAAAAAAGAAAAAATTTTGGAGTGAGGGTTTAAAAAATTAAGAAAGCCTAGGGAAAGTTGGGTTTTTCAGTTAAAAAAAAGAGTTTGGGGAGTTAGTAGATGGGGGGGAGGGAGGGATTAGGGGGAGATGGGGGAGAATATTTTGAAGGGAAATTTTTAAAAGTTGAAAAGAAAAGGGGGGCGGGAATTTCATGCACTGGCCCGGGAGGTATACCATCTTTTAGGGGTGAAAAGAAACCCGAAAATTTTAAAGGGGGTGGAGGTACTTTAGGGAATTTAAAGTAGAATGAAAAAAAGGGGGTAAAGCACTGGAACTTATGGGAAAATGACAGAAATGTTAAAAGCAGGGGGGGTATAGGGGTTTTGGGGTGGTTGGTACTTTTGTTTAATAAATGTAGAAAAAGGGGGGGGTACCTAGGATTGGCGGAGAGCATGTATAGCCCTTTATATAAAGGGAAAGGGGAAAAAGAGATTGTAAAAATTATAGAGGAAATAAGTTTACGAATCCCCGGGAAAAAGTAACGGTAGGGTTATAAATGAAAAAATTTAAAACGCAAAACAGTTTTGGATGGGGAGAGCAGGAAGGCTTCAGAGGGGGTAGGGGATTGGTAATCAAGTGTTTACATTTAAGCAAATATTAAAACAGTATTTAAAAAAAAGGGGAATTTTTTTATTGCTTTTATGGTTTTTTAAAAAGGCTAGATAGAGTGGATAGAGGAGAAATGTGGCAGATGTTTGAAGTACAGTGGACCCCCGGTTAAAAACTTTTTTCACTCCAGAATATGTTCAGTCCAACTGACCAAAATTTTTCCCAAAAGGGAAATATTGTGAAGTAGATTGCCATTTCAGCCCCCAAACAACACGTACAAATGCACTTACATAAATACACTTACAAATTGGTCGCTTTTGGAGGTGATCGTTAAGGGGGGTTTTCCACTGTTAGGAATAATGGTAAGTTCCCAAAATGCTGAAAAGAGCTTTTATGAGGATGTGAGGCCGGGTTTAGGGTGTTTAAAAGAGGGAGATTATTCCCGGGTAAAAGTAGGTCTTAGCAGGGTGGAAAATGTCACCATGGTTGTTTAATATATTTATAATGGGGTTTAAAAAATAAATGCGGGGTGTTGGGGAGAGGGGTGGGTTTAAAATTTATGGGGAATCAAATTAAAAAGGGGAATTGACAGTTATTTTTTTGTGATGAACTGTTTTATGGGAGATTCTAAAAAAAAAATTGCAAAGGGTTTGTGATAGTTTGGAATGTTGAAAAGGTAGAAATTTTGAAAGTGAACAAGAAAAAGTAATTGTGAGGGTATCAAAGATTTAGAAAAGAAAAATTGGATATAAAATTGGGGGGGGGGAGTAGGAAGAAGTGAATTTTTTTCAGATATTGGGAGTTGAGTGTCGGGGGAGGATTTATGAAGGGGAGTTAACAAGAATTGATGAGGGAAAAAAAAGGGGGTGGTGGTTGAGGTATATGTGGAGTCAAAAAACGTTATCTATGGAGGCAAAGAGGGAATTATGAAAGTATGTATACCAAACTTTATATGGATGTGAAGCTTGGGTGGAAAATGCAGCGCGAGGAGACGGTTTGGGGGCAGTGGAGATGTCCTGTCTAAGGGGGAAGGTTGGGTAAATATTTTGCAGAAAATTCGGGTTGGAAATTTTGAAAAAGGTGTGGAGTTAATAAAAGTATTAGTCAAGGGGAGAAGAGGGTTTGTTGGGTTGTTTGGTTTATTTGAGAATGGATCAAAGTAGAATGACAGGAAAGCATATAAAACTATAGGGGAAGGAAGGGGGGGTAGGGGTCCCTTCTCAAAGGTTGGGAAAAAGGGGGTAAAGGAGGTTTTGTGGGGGAGGGGCTTTGGGCTTCCCGCAAGTGGCAAGGGGTGTTAGATAGGATGAATGGAGACGAAGATATTGGGGGCCTGACGATCTGTTGGAGTGTGAGCAGGGTAAAAAATTTTAGTGAAAGGGATTCAGGGAAACCGGTTATTTTCAATGTCGGATTTAGTCCGGAAATGGGAAGTACAATGCCTGCACTTTAAAGGAGGGGTTTGGGATATTGGCACTTTGGAGGGCTATGTTGTTTATCTTTATACGTATATGCTTCTAAACTGTTGTATTCTGAGCACCTCTGCAAAAGCAGTGATAATGTGTGAGTGTGGTGAAAGTGTTGAATGATGATGAAAGTATTTTCTTTTTTGGGGATTTTCTTTCTTTTTTGGGTCACCCTGCCTTGGTGGGAGACGGCCGACTTGTTGAAAAAAAAAAAAAAAAAATTCTACATTTTTAACCTCTGTCTTTCAACTATCTCATACAGTCATTTATTATAGCATTTATTTATTCATTTATTATAGTGTGGTTTTACACCCTGTAGAAAATCAAGTTACAAAATACTATCATGCATTACCAAAATTTAAATAATAGGCTACATGCAAATTCTTTTAATAACATCTGAATGAACAACATCAATTACAAAACACAAAATGCTTTAAATGTTTCAACAAGTATGCTAACAGCCTGAAGAGTGTGCCTTAACCTCAGAGCATATCATTTACCTTTATCAAATGCAGCATGAGATGACACAGGCACTAGCATCTCTGGTGACTTAATACCTCTAACATTAATGGCATAGTCTCTATATGCCTTGCATGCCAAAATGATGCTTTCTGTGCCTCCAGCTGTCATCTGATCAACAACAAATGGCAAAACATTCAGTTAGATTTTACTGATATTTTATAATATCAAACACATTTTATTGCTTTCATAAATGATTTAGAAGTGAGACTGCAGAATTCATATACAAATTACTTTCATAACTTTTCAAAAGGAAATAGGAAAAAAGGATGAATTACCAACAAGATCAGTAAGGTATGTATCTGATTAAATCACACACCAAGCACAAATTGTAATAGCCTTAAAAAACATTTGATTAATGTATTCATCAATAAATACAATAATACATAAAACAAACTCTGCTGAGATTGTCTGGTAGCTGGTAAAGGTCAAGTTTTGCAGGGGCATTTAACAAAATGTCATTGGCATACCTCTCCAAAGACAAATTATTTGGAATTAGGTTGACAAGGCAATCAATTTTCAATGACTTTAGTTAGACATTCACAAATATAGGATTCTACAGCGAGTCCATGGTCATGTCAAAAGATTGTTTGTAGTAAGTGCCACTAGATGTGATTATGAGATTTGATAAAGCCTGCTGTGAAGGCAAAATATTATCTTAAATAAAGTTTCCAGGTGCTGCTCATGCACCATTTTCAACTACAACTTTTCATTATTTCCATACCATCCACTATTACAATAAAATCAATCTCAAAAGAATATGTTGGCTAGGTGCACATAAGCCAAAGGCTACTTAAACAAATTCTCAATTTCAAGAACATCACAACTCTCATATGTAAGAATTCTTTTCTGTGGAATGTAACATAAATTTTACTTATTATTCATTTATGAAAACTTCTGAGCTGATAAATAATAAATTTGAGTAATTAACCCTTTCACTGTCAGTCCCATAATATTATGGCTTGCAAGACAGTGTCAGTCCCATAACACTATGTTAAAATTCTAGCAGCTTCCAATCTTGCGGGAGAAAGTTGGTATGTCTACATACGAGAGAATGGGTCTGAGTGGCCAGTGTGTGCAGTATAAAAAAAAAATCCTGCAGCACACAGTGCACAATGAGAAAAAAAAAGTGTTTTTGGTTTAAAACACCGACTTTGCGGTGTATTTCTGTATAGTACTTAAGGTTGCATTCTCATTTTCTTGGTCTTATTTGACAGAATGGAAGATATATTACAGAAATAAGGATGATTTTGAAATTGAGCTCAAAGTAGCAGCAATGTTCAATATTTGCCGATGTTCAAGAGTAAACAAATCACGTCACGCGTCCAATACACGTGAAGTGGTGGGTCTAATATGCTTTCACAAATGCACTGATATTATTTATACCATTTTTACAATAATGTAGTAGTCTGCATAACAATAAATCTTCTATTTTTTGTATGAATGAAAATTCAAAATGGATAGCAAGCGTAATATAAAAGGGGCCTGGAGATGTGACTAATAAACAAAGAAAATGTTATTGTAGTGCTAGGAATGTCTGCATTTTTAATTCTGGACCCTATATTGAAATTGGCCTTACATGAATTGTGTATGAAATTGGCCAAATTGCCAATTTCTGATCACCTTATTGAGTAGTTGAAATGGGTAAATGGGTGGTTTCTTGTACTCAATCAATAGAACAAATGGAGTTCTAGTGAAATAGCTATGAGTTTGATTGACTGAAACAATAGAATTGGCCAAAAATAGGACTCAAAGTGGGTAAAATCGCCAATGCATAAATATAGCCGAGACTGCTAACTTTGCAAGAGCATAATTCCATAAGTTTTCCATCAAATTTTGTACTTTTGGTGTCATTACCATTGGGAAAAGATTTTATCATTTCTTAAGGAAAAACTTTTTTTTTTTTTAAATTCTTTGACACTGAAAGCAAGTTTGTGATCAGGGGTCTCGACAGTGAAAGGGTTAAAACATCAGAGTAATGTATCACCTATTTTATTTGAAAAATTTGAAGTGTAATGAAGGGATCCACATAACAGAGTATACTTACACAACCACAGCTCTTGGAATCTCCATTAAACAATGTACAGCACATGCGAACCACCTCAGCTTCCATTTTTCTCACTCCCGGGAATACATCAGGATGGAGAGGATTACTCCATGCAGACATACCTAAAAAGAAATTTACTGTAGTGTTTCAGGAAGATGCTAATAAAATCAAAGGAAGAGGTAGAAATACAATGCAGAAGAAAGGTAGAGTAATAAAGTACATGTAGACAGCACTTACAAATATTTACAGCAAAATATAATGATGTACAATGAGCCCTTTCATTAACCGACTAATAGGAGGGAGGGGATGAACAATATTGCTCATCATCCAAAACTTCCAAATTATGAAATTTACTGTTAATGACTGTGTGATTGTCTTCTGAACAAGCAGACTTGGTCTGCTAATACAGAAGACAACTGAGCACTAAAAATTCCTGTAGTACTACAGTCCAGTACTGTACTGTATAAGAATTTTATAGTACTGTATGTAATTTACAGTAATTTTATTTATATACCTTTTTGTGGTGGAGAGACAAGGTGTAAACTGCCATGACTGATAGTGGTGACTCAGAATAACTTTCATTCTGAGTTAGAGGAGCTCTAAAGCTCCACTAACACTTACACTAAATTTAACCCTTAAACTGTCCACACATAGATCTACGTGCACGTGCGCAGTGCCCCGAACATAGATCAACGTTTTATTTTTCATTCCTTCAAATTTGGCACAATAGGCCTGAGTCTCCTAGACATGAAAGAATGGGTCTGTGCACTCAGTGTGGGCAGAATGAAAAAAATCAGGGATCACTTAGTACCTTGTGGAAGCACCAGTTCAATTGAGTGCCAGCTAGAGCAAATAGCTTGGCAAACACCAGGGATTCACTGATGTCATGTCATATTAACACTCACATTTTAAGAGGAAAGTAAAAATAGATTAGATAAATACATGAGTGAGTGTGGGTGGGTGTGATTTGGACCTGACTAGCTTCTGCTACTAGGTCAGATGCCGTGCTCCTTCCTTCGGTGGATGTGACCTGACTAGGTGGGTCATTGGTCTAAGCCAGGGGTTGACATGGACCTGCCTTGCATGGGCCAGTTTCCTGCTGCAGTGTTCCTTCTTTCTTGTGTTCTTATGTATTCGGCTAGCTGGCTGGCTTTGGCTGTCTCTGTCTGTCTATATCTCAATCTGTCTATATCTCGATCTGTCTATATCTCTATGTCTCTGTCCATCTATATCTGTCTCTCACATGTACACATAAGTATAGTTATTATACATAATGTAAATTACCTAGGATAACCCAAAAATTCCAGGCCAAGTGCTATACAGTGTTTGTAGATTTTTTTTTTTTCAACAAGTTGGCTATCTCCCACCTAGGCAGGGTGACCCAAAAAAGAAAGAAAAATCCCCAAAACGAAAATACTTTCATCAACAATCAGCATTTTCACCTTACTCATACATAATCACTGTTTTTGCAGAGGCACTCAGATACAACAGTTTAAAGACATATATAAAGATACAATATAAAAAGTGACCTGAAATAATATAATAAACTCCATGTAGAATACAATATCAGGGCCCCAATTATATATATACCATCCTATTATACATCCCTCCAAACTGCCAATATCCCAAACCCCTCCTTTAAAGTGCAGGCATTGTACTTCCCATGTCCAGAACTCAAGTCCGGCTAAATAAAAATAGCCAGTTTCCCTGAATCCCTTCACTAAATATTACCCTGCTCACACTCCAACAGCTCGTCAGGTCCCAAAAACCATTCATCTCCATTTACTCCTATCTAATACGCTCATGCAAGCTTGCTGGAAGTCCAAGCCCCTCTTTAAACATATTAACCCTTTCAGGGTCCACAGGCCCTCTCAGAGACTTGTTCTCAGGGTCCCCCAAATTTAAAAAAAAAAAAAAATATTTTTTCTTATGAAAAGATAATCTTTTCCCGATCATAATGACACCAAAAGTATGAAATTTGATGGAAAACTTACGGAATTATGCTCTCACGAAGTTAGCGGTCTCGATGATGTTTAAGCATCGGCGATTTTGCCCACTTTGAGCCCTATTTTCGGTCAATTCCAGTGTACTAGTCGACAAAAATCATAACTATTTCGCTAGAACTCCATTTTTTTCTATCGAGCAAGTACAAGAAGCCACCCATTTACCGATTTCAACTATCCAATACAGTGGTCAGAATTTAGCAATTTTGCCAATTTCACACAAATTCAAAAGATGCCAATTTCCAAATAGGGTCCAGAATAAACAAGAAAGACATTCCTGGCACTAAAATAACATTTCCTTTGTTCATTAGTCACATCCCCACGCCCCTCTTACATTCTTTTGCTTTCCATTTTGAATTTTTATTCTCACAAAAAATAGAAGATTTACTGTTATGCAGGCTACTGCATTAGTGTAGAAATGGTATAAATAATATCGGCGCACTTGTGAAAGAAAATTAGACTCACCAGTTGACATGTATTGGACGCTTAGCATGATTTGTTTACTTTTGAACTTTGGTAAAAATCGAACATTTCTGCTACTTTGAGATCAATTTCAAGGTACTTTTCATTGTAAATCCAGTCAAAATCATCTCAATTTCTGTAATATGTCTTCCATTCTATCAAATGAGACTAGGAAAACTAGAATACAACAATAAATACCATACAAAAGTACAGTGCAAAGTCGCTGTTTTAATCCAAAACAGGGTCAAATTTTTTTTTTTCTCATTATGCACTGTGTGCTGCAGGATTTTTTTTATACTGCACACACTGACCATATAGACCCAGTCTTTCATATGTAGGCCTACCAGCTTTCTCTCACCATATTTGAAGGCGCTAGAATTTACAAGTACTAGTACGTCAAGGACCCTGGCACGTAAGCCGTACTAGTACGGCCGAAACCCTGAAAGGGTTAAACAACCATGGTGACATTACACATCTCTGTAAGACCTACTTTCACCGGGAATAATCTCCCTCTCTTCTACACACCCTAACCTGAGCCTCACTGTCCTCGTAAAAACTCTCTACAGTATTTAGTAATTTACTACCTATTCCATATATGTACTTGCAACATCTGCCACATTGCTCCCCTATCCACTCTATCATATTCCCTTTCTAAATCCATAAATGCAATGAAAACTTCCCTAGCTTTATCTAAATACTGTTCACATATACAGTGGAACCTTGACTTACGAGTTTAATCCGTTCCAGGAGCTAGCTCGTAACTCAATTTACTCGTATATCAAATTAATTTTCCTCATTCAAATTAACTGAAAAGCCATTAATTTGTTCCTGCACTCTGGAGAGACGAGAAAAAATACTTGAATACGACTGTTATCAACTGTACGGCTTATTTATCTATCACAATTCATCTAACATGACATAATAAACAATATACACCTACCATCCGACTTACGACCGAGTTCGGTTCTGAGAAACCAGTCCTAAGTCGAACTTTACTACTGAATATCAACAAAACATTTTTGTAATGGCTTTATTTTATTGTTTTATTTTGGTATTTCATGTTTTACTTTACTTTTTCTGTTGTTAGTACTGTATTTTATACTGTAAGGTTTAGGATAAACACTGTGTACAACACAAATAGTTGTTTATTTCCCAGAAATTTGGCATAAAAAACACAGTCGTAAGTCGAGTGGTCGTAAGTCGAGCAGGTTGTAAGTCGGATGGTAGGTGTAATTAGCACAGAAACACGATATAAACTCTAGAATGAATAAAATAGACCATAATATGGTGGCACAGGCAGAGGCAGAAGCATCCGCCATTTGTGTCCCAATTTGACTATAGTATCTTCCCATGTTCTTACTGTAAGAGAAAGTGGAGTATTTTTGAGGCTAACTGCAGTAGATCACTAGGACCCATGGTTAGAAAAAGAAATTTGGCCAAATGACTGTAAAAAATGCACATAAGCATGAGAGAACTGCCCCCACAGGGATGCAAACATGTTTACTGCTTACCAGCTGTGCCAACTAGCAGAAGCAATCTGAATTATTATTACGTATGTATTGTGGAAATTTATTCGGTCCTAAAAGTTCCACAGGTCAGATACGTCGTACAAAGATCCCAACAGGTCGTGATTAGACCGGTTTGGTTGGGTGGCCCTTACACCCACCCAAAGCACACACACACACCCGGGTTGGCGAAGGTGGTTGGAAGGCGCTTCTTAATTGATAGATTTACTCTTCAGGGAAGAAGTAGGTAGTTTATACTGTTAGTACACTAATATTAGAACTATTGAGGCAACTGTAGATAATAACAAAGTAGACCTAAGACCTTAACGTAGGTAGTAATAGGCCAAAAATGTAGGCAAACACTAGGTTATGTTAGCCAGGGAGAACTGGCAGCCCAAGTTTGAATACTGGGGCACGGGTTTGAGACCGCAGTGCCCTTCCTTCTAAGACCAGACACCGTCGGAACAACAAGTGCCGTGACCAGCAGGCCCGTACAGTAAGACGAGACCTCCTTTTTTTCTGCAAGATTCTGGTCAGTTTCTGGGGAAAATTGTGAGTGAGTTGAGCTGTGGGCCTTAGTACAGGCGGCAATTCATGACCGGTACGTACCGGCATCTCTTGTTAGCCTAGAAGCTAGTGTCACTTTCTGCATAGTTATACTAGGGGATGCACACCCCCTGGGAAACAGGAATTTCTGAGGTGCAGGCAGGTCACTAATATTGACTGAATATTGCAGGAATTAAGGCTCCCGGTTGCACATGGTTCTGAGGGGAAGTCCAGAGGGACTAAAGCTTAGGGAGGTGGAAGACCAGAATATATTCTCCAACACCAAGTAAGTTAGCCCTTTATTCTTGCATGCATGCGAGATTTCTTGCAACATCAGTCATTTAAGAAAATCTGTCCTATAAGCCACTTGTGAGGCTGAGGTACCGACCTCAGGGCTCGGTGTCAACAGAGCTTGCCAGGGTAGACAACTCACATGGAGGCAGTCCAGACAAATTTTCACAAGTGGTCCTTTGAACCGTGATGTGGAATAGCTAGGTTAAAATTAACATAGCTAGGCCACAGTTAGGAACCAGAGTTTAACAGAGTTAGGTTAAGTTAACACAGAGGCTAGGCCAAGCTGACTATACACAGAAGTTATTATTTACA